ATAGTTGAAGATGAGTACTTGAGAGCAGTGCTGGGTAAGCAATCAGGGAAGGGGTTCCAGGCAGTCGGTTCCAGACGGGAAACTTGATTCCAAATGCCGACTGATCGCTCTCTTTCTCTTTGTCTTGCAGGGAAGAACAAGAACAAAGGAAAGGACGTGGAAAAGGCATGCTATGAGATATTCTTGCTTTCAACCCTAATGATATGGGATACGTTTGCTTTTGAAGACTTGGTTGAAGAGGTGTTTTCAGGGAAGAAGAAAACTGAGCATATTAAGAGGTTTGGTTGCAGTTGCATTCTTGGCGAGGAAGAAGAGTCATGCATTTTGGATGTATACCTTGCCATGGAGGATGAATGTTGACATATATAGGGATTTTAACAACAGGTAGTGGTGCGGGTGCGGCTTTGTCACCCACGCTTATCGGCAAAAGTGTGATAGTTGGAATAGTGAACTCCACGCGTTTTCAACTTTGTCAAAGATCTTTGACAAAGTTGCATGCGTTATCTGAAAAGCTGAGATTGCGTCTGAAAAGCGTTGACGAACTTTACGCAAGAAAATCCGGCTTTTAAAATTCGAAGAGTGGTGTCTCTTCAATTTTTTTTTTGAATTAGTGGTTGTGTTGCCTCTCTTTTTATAGAGGTATCGATCACATCCAACATGCACACTTTGAAGACTGCCGGCTCGTGAAAATCGTCTCCGGTGTTTTTTTTTTTTTTCTGAGATTTACTCCATAGAACCCTTTTCTTTTAACATATTTGAAAATGGCTAACCCTTCTAACATTTGCTTAGATTTGAGTCTCAGCGATGATACAGGTGCACCGCATCAGGGTAATATATGGTGCTCGTCCTTCTTATCTTCTAATGGCCCTCTTACAGGTGAAGACTCCGTGATGAAGGATGCAACAACGGCTACAGTAGTAGCTAGGAACCTCCTCACTCTTAGAGATAATAGGCTGCTTTCAAGACGATCCGATGAGTTGGCCGTTCAAGACTCCTTAGCTCTCAGTGTTCAGTGTGCGGGCTCTGTGTCTAACATGGGCCAACACCTATTTGCTCAAACTGTCAAGTTGAATCATTGACGGCCGAGGTGGAAAATCTTAGATAAGAGATCATACAACTTAAGCGCGAGAATAAAGATTTGCACATGCTTGCAAATAATTATTTGACGAGCATGAAGAGGAAGCTTGATCAACTGCAAGAATCTAAAGGTCGAATTCAAAGTGACCATCAGAGGTTTGTGGCTTTCTTCCAGAGGCACCTTTTGCCTTCGTCATCTAGTGTTCAACCAAGTATTGAGGCCTCGAATAATCTATCTTTAATGCCTCCCGCTGCTGGGGTTTCGCCAAGTAGGGAGGCTTTGCGTGAGCAACCTTTGTGAAGGCTCTCTCTTTCTTTCTTTCTTTCTTTTTTATTTTATTTTATTTTATTTTTTGTACGCATTTGTAATTTCTCAGAGATATCAATAGACATTCTTTATTTCATTCAACGTATTATGTTAAGTACAAACAAAACATATTAAGATGTGTTACTTCCTTCCTTTTTTTTTTTTTTTTTTAAATGATACTTTTGCAAGGTGGTGCCGTGCACCATCCTTCCCCTATTTTCTTCTTTTCAATAATTCTGTCGCCACCATCTCTTTTCCTTTTTCTTCTTGACTTGCTAACAGTAGCTTGCACCTTCTTTTTGTGTGCGTGTACATTGTTCTGATGACGAGTATGGTAGATTGGCACTGCTGGGTTCCTTGTTGCACTGCATACGGACCATTTTTTTTTTTTTTTTTTTTTGCACAGTCATCTTATTACATTCTTTATTGCATGTGGATTGTTGTTTGCATAGTCACCACACCATTATTTGCACAATCATTGCACTTCATTTACTTCTTTAGGTTCCTCAATGGGATTCCTCGCCTGCATCCTTTTCTGCATGCGGACTCGCACAGTCACCGCATCATTACCTACACAGTCACCGTACTCCATCTGCTTCTCTGGGTTCCTGTACACATATATATATATATATGTATGTATGTATGTATATATATATGGGATCGCACCATCACTGCGCAACCATTGCACAGCCGCTGCAATATTTGTTGTCTTGTGGTGGAGGAATGAGAGAAGGCATCACTTGAATCAGGCAGCCCTTTATTGAAGTCAAAGCAACCCAGTAGCTGGTGTCTTTTTAATGCTATTTTTTGCTTGTGGCGTCCTTGTCGAGGAAGAGGGAGACTCGGCCTTTTGTGGTTCTGCTTCAGTTTCTGCCTGTAGAAGCTTTCACATCTTTGGAGCCGTATATAAATAATATATATATATATGGTAGGTGTTTGTTCCACCACTCTGCATGCATATATATGGCAGGTAATTGTCATGGCTTGTCTCGTCACTCCATATATATATATATGTTGATTGTCTTGTAGCTTGTGTTTGTTCCACCACTCTATGCTTTCTGCTGCCTAGTGTTTGTGCAAGAGACTATAACGGGGTTCCACTGTGTAGTGCCTTTTGATCACAGTTTTCCCTCGGTGGTGCGCTGCCGTGTAGTGTTGTGCAAGAGACTGCAGCGGGGCTTCGCTGTGTAATGCCTTTTGGTTACAGTTTTCCTTTGTTGGTGACGCCATACGGTGCAAGAAACTGCTTGCGTAATCGCTGCGGGGTTGCGTAGTGCGATTGCGTGGCATTTTGGTTTTCTTTGCCACTGTATCGTGTCTTGAATGACCGTTCTGTAACTGCCCTCTTTGCCGTGCTGCTCAAGTTTTGTGGCTGATTTTGCTTTGTTGAAGTCATGGTATTTTTCAAGTGTTTTAAGAGGAACACCATCACCATTCTTGCGAAGGAAAGTGATTCGCAAGATAGGGGAACAACGTTGAAGCTTTACGCACCACTGACTGGTCCTAAGGCGCTTGCTCTTCGTGCAAAAGACAACTCCATGCATATTAAGTCGTGGTCTTCTGAAGTATCTTGGGAGGTGGTAGACTCTGTTCGACCAAATACAAAGAAGAAGGCGTGCATATTAAGGATTCTTATCTTGAACCCTTCGCACCATGTTTGTGACAATCATCCGGCTTCGTTTAAGCTTCTTGGTGATCACATCCGCAACGGAGCTATGGCTTGGAATGATACCTTGTCGACTACTGGAGAAGCTATTTTTGCTGAGTCTTATTGGGACTGGCTCAAAAATGTCTTGGGCCGATCTAAACATGTGCTTACTAGCGTGGGCCTTTACCATGTTGTGTACGCATCTTTGTTCAGTTATGATCTCCATCATTCCGTCCTTCATGCGTTCTTCGAGCATTGGTGTTCAGCGACTAACACGCTTCATACAGCTCAAGGAGATATGTCAATTTCACTTTGGGATCTCCATAGGATAGGGGGCTTGCCAATCCAAGGTAAGTTTTATGACGAGGTCGTTCCTAGTGCGGAGGAACTTTCTCTCTGCAATAGCCGAGGATTGCCTGCGAGTTGTCGCTATTTGTTTTGGTCGTATCACAAGTTTTCCCAAGATGCTGGAGGTAACTTAGGTGTGAAGATTTCTTCATGGATCCGATTTTGGTATTAGAAGGACATAAGGTACAAGAAGTCCTTGAAGAAAAGAGGTTGCACCAAGACCACTAAGCCAAAAGGAGATCCATATCCGTCTGGTGCTATTGGTTTAGCTAGGCGTCGCTCCCCTGCTGAGTTAAAACCGTTTAAGGACCTTGACATAGCATCAGAGCATATGGAAGAATCTTACATAGCTGCTTTCTTGGCTTGATGGCTTTGTAAGTTTGTTTTTCCAATAGGCGACGTCAACTTTGTTCGTCCTGGAGTTTTCAAAGTTGTTAGCAAGATGGCTGTAGGTGAATCTTTTAGTCTTGCTATCCCGATCTTAGCTAACATTTATAACAGCTTGAGTGTTGTTTTGAACTCGGCAAGCACTGAAGATCGTGCTGCTGTTCTTCCCTACCACTATGTGTATGGTTGGTTGGGTGAGTACTTCGACACTCATTTTTCTTCTTTAACTTTAGACAAGTCGGGGCCTTCTTCACCGACTTCAGTCAAGTTGGGGCCTTTGATGACGAAGTATTCTAGCGTGCTTTCTTCGAAGAGCCCCGATGATTCCCAGGCACAAGCGCTGTTTAGAAGTTGTGAAGGCTTGAGGATGGACCATTTGGCGAGAGTTAGCTCGGTGCGGCGAGGCATCATGGATGATTCACATCTTCACTTCTTGGACTTGTCTTACCTTATAAGTCTTCGCTCAGGGTATGTTTCTTTGCGGCAAGAAGACCGATGCATCGTTCAGTCGTATAGTCCCCACCGTTTCAGCAGGCAATTTGGTTTTGTCCAAAATGTGCCAGGCAAGCTGAAGGAAAAAAACCAATTAGAATCCTTGCAAGCCGCGTATATGCATTGGGAGTCTTGTACCCGTGCATGTACAAATGTTTCTATCACTCTGCTGGCTAAAGATGAGTTCAAGAGCCGTGCTTACATAAGTTGGTGGTCAAAGGTACGTTATGAGAACTTGGGGATGGCAAGTGGTACCAATTCTTCTCATTCACGCCTTGAAGTATCGAAGGGGGTTGTTCTGTGGTTCCTACGTAACTGATACCTTTTGATTGCGCGAATGTTACTACTTTGCAAGAAAGACCAGTGGTTTTAGTCCCTCAATGCCCACGCTTATCTTCTCAACATCTGGATGTATCTACAGAGGCTGGTGATGAAGTTGATTCGCACGAAGATGGACTTGTTTTGCGGCAGCGTCAACAAGTTTTAAACAAGCGATGACTTGAAGATGCTCAGGTTGACAGCGATGTCAATTTTTGTCATAAGAAGAAAGAAGTGTTTAGGCTTCCTCAACTCGATGGCAGTGTGTCGTTTGAGAAAGATGTATGCATTTTCTTCTTTCTCGTGACTTCTTCTGCTTTCATTGTTTTAGCTTTTGGTTCTAACAGCTTTCTTTGTTTTCTTTAGGTTGGGCCTTCTTGTTCTTTTGACTTGGCGACCATAGGCATTTATTCCTATACGAAGATGTTTGGAGGCGACCTACCTACAGGCGGGGAGATCGGGGATCCGCCTAGTGCAAAGCTTGTTCCAAATCCGCCAAGTTTCCCAAGTTTGCTGTGTGTAGGTGGAGGTATGCAAGAGCCTGTCATGCGTTCAATACCTTTGCCAGCTAGCTCTGAGATCTCTCTAAGAAGGCCAAACCTTAGTGGTACTGAGCAGCTTATTCATCGCATCAATCTTCATGCGGCAATGGATATCAAGAGCCATATTGAGGAGAAGATTTCAAAGTGCCCGTTGGAGGACCTTGCGTTGCTTAAGGAGGATTTGTCGAAGCTTGTTTCTATGATTGACAATCTTAACGTTGATTCTTCATCCTTGAAGATCAAGATTGCCGAACTTATAGCCGCCTCAACTGAGTATTCTTCCTTGCGTGCTATTTCCTCGAAGAAGTTGAGTCCAGATGTTAGAGCTCATCAGCTTGCAGCAATAGACTTGTCATTAACCCAAGTTTGGTCTTCTCAACAAGCTGTTTTGGGAGATTATCAAGCCACAAAGACTTCTTTAGCTTCCGTCCAGGTGCGTCTAGATACGTTGATACGAGAGCAAGAATAGTTAGGCATCAAAACATCATGACTTGAAAGTGTTCTCGGGAAGCAGAGAGCTATACTTTCTCAATGCCAAGAGGAGATTTCATGCCTAAAACAAGAGAAAGGCATGGCTATGGAATTGCTCATCTTGTCCCCCACCGAGGTAAAGACTTTGAAGACTTTGGAAGGCTTGCTTGAAGATCGCCTCCCTAGTTTTAGGGACATAGTTTTCAAGTAATGTCTTCTGCTTTTTTTTTTTGTCATCAGGCTCTAGGGCTGACTTTTTCCTTTAAAGAAATGAAGTGTTTGCATTCTTGAATTTGCTCTTTATTCTTCAAAGTGTTTGTGTTTTTGTTGATGATGTGACTGTACTTGAAGTTTTGAAGTTTCAAGTTGCCTACGTACCCTTGGTTGAGGAGGGATCAAGTCATGACGTAGTTCAAATGAGTGATGGTTTTTTTTTTTTTTTTTTTTTTTTTTGTTTTTTGATGATTTTAATGGTGATTATGATGATGATTTTGCCATACACAATTTATGCTCTTACGGGCCATGAGCATGGTGCGTTTGTTTTAGGGGTAGTAGCACTTCAAAAATCTGACGTTGATAAGGCCGATCTTCAAGCCGTCTTCTGCCATGATTAAGTAAACGCCATTGGTGTAAACCTCTTGTATTACGTATGGTCCATCCCACTTTGATGTGAACTTGCTTTTTATCTTATCAGTTGTGATGATAGGCCTACGCAATGCCAGTACGAGATCTCCAGCTTGGAAAGACCTTGGGCGGACCTTCTTGTTGAATGCCTTGGATAGCCGTGCTTGGTAGCATTCCAAGTGTTGTTGAGCTTCAAGCCTTCTTTCATCTAGCGCCTCCAACTCTTGAAGGCGCAACTTTGCATTTTCTTTATCAATCAAGCCTTCTTATACAGCCATCCTTAGTGAGGGGATTTGACTTTCTAGCAGTAGAACAACTTCCACACCATATACGAGAGAATAAGGCATAGCTTGGGTGGGAGTCCTATGTGTAGTCCTATATGCCTAAAGTGCTTCACTTATTCTTTCATGCCAGTCTCTCTTTGTTCGGCCGACTACCTTTTTCAGGAGGTTGCACAACGTCTTGTTGAATGCTTCCGCGAGGCCGTTGGCCGGAACATGATACATGGAAGACTTGTGCTGCTTAAACTTGTATTTGTCGCAGAGCTCGTCCACGAGTTTGTTGGAGAACTGTTTTCCGTTGTTAGTGATAATGTAGCGAGGCACACCATATCGGTGGATGATATGCTCTTTGATGAGACGAACGACAATTTCCTTTTTTTACTTCTCTTAAGGGTAAGGTTTCAGCCTATTTGGAGAAGTAATCTGTTGCAGCTAGGATGTAAGCTTCTCCTGCAGATAACTTTGGCATAATTAGTCCTACAACGTCCAATCCCTATGCGTCGAACGGTCGTGAAGCAACTGTAGGGTGTAATGGTTCAGGCGATTGATGTATGAAGTTGGCGTGAAATTGGCAGGCTTGGCACCTTTTGGCATGTTCCAGGCAGTTCTTCACTATGCTTAGCGAGTAGTAACCCATTCTTTTGAGCTGGAAATGTAGTTTTGGTCCAGACTGATGTGCCCCACACACACTTGAATGTGCTTCTTCCATGGCTTGATTGGCTTCTTCCTCACCTAGGCATCTCAGGAGCACTCCTTCAAAACAACGTCTGTAGAGTGTTCCTTTGTAGTAAAGGAAGCAAGCTGCTCGTCTACGTATTTCGGAACGGTGTCTAAGATCATCTGGAAGTTTTCCGTGCTCTAAGTAGTCGATCAGCGACTGTCTCCACTCTTTAGCATCGACTAGAAGTGCTGAGATGACATTTATACCATCCAGTAACATTTCAGTAACGAGCGGGATCACCCATCTTTGGCAAACCGGCACGTCTACAGCTTCATCTTTTCTTAGTGTCATACTCGAGGCTAGATTGGCGAAGGCGTCTGCCATTTGATTTTCCTTTCTTGGCACATGTTCTAGTGTCACGGCCTCGAACTTTTGTAACAGTTGAGTTGCCAGCCGGAAATATGGGACGAGATCATCTTTCCTTACCTCATATTCAATTAAGAGTTAATTGATTATGAGCTTGGGGTCACCATATACCTCAAAAGCTGTGATTTCCATGTTGATCGCCATTTGGAGCCTGATGATCAACGCTTGGTACTCAACAACATTGTTGGAGCATTGGAAGAAGTAAGATAGTATTTGCCTTTGTGGCGACATGAATACTACTCCTGCCCCCACTCCATTTACTCATGCGGATCTGTCGAAGAACATCGTCCATGTCGTGAAGATGTCGATGTAGAACACCTTCTCGTCAAGCAAGTCGTCTGAGATTTTCCAATCAGTTGGGATTGGGTGATCGGCAAGGAAGTCTGCTAGCACTTGTCCCTCGACGGCTTTAGCTGGGACATAGATGATCTCATATTGATTAAGAAGCAAGGCCCATTTAGCGAGTTTCCCTGTCAAGACTTGCTTGGACATGACGTATTTGACAGGGTCAGCTTTAGCAACTAGGTGGATGGTGTAAGCATGCATATAATGTCTAAGCTTCTGAATGGCAAACACCAAAGCGAGGCACATCTTTTCTATTAGGGAATAGTTCAACTCAGCGTTGGTGAGAGTTTGACTGAGGTAGTAAAGTGCTCATTCTTTATGGAATTCATTCTCTTATGCCAAGATGCTCCGATTGAACTTTCCTGAGTAGTAATATACAATATGAGCGGTTTCCCGGGCACAGGTGCCCCCAGGATAGGTGGACTTGACAAATATTTCTTTATGCTTTCAAAAGCATTATAGCATGCTTCGTCCCATACGAATGAACCATCTTTCTTCATGAGGCGACTAAACGGTTGACAACGCCCTGCGAGGTTGGAGATGAAGTGTCTGATGAAGGCTAGCTGTCCTTGTAGACTTTTCAGCTTGTGCAAGTTTCTTGGCTCGGGCATGCTTTGAATGGCCTTGATCTTTGATTGGTCCACTTCATTACCACGATGCTTGACGATGAAGCCGAGGAATTTTCCAGAGGTGACGCCAAACGCACACTTTAACGGGTTCATCTTGAGGTTGTATTTTCGCAACCTTTCGAACATTATTCGCAAATCCTTCAAGTGGTCTAATCTTTTCTTTGTCTTGACCACCACATCATCTACGTAACATTCTACGTTTTTGTGTAGCATGTCATTTAAGATTTTCTGCATTACGCGTTGATACGTAGCTCCAGCATTCTTTAGACCAAAAGGCATCACCTTGTAGCAGTAGATACATTTTGGAGTACGAAAGGTTGTTAGTTCCTCGTCTTCGAGGGCCATGCGAATTTGATTGTACCCAGAAGAGCCATCCATGAATGACAATGCCTCATGGCCAGTGGTTGCGTCCACCATGATTTCAATGATTGGCAAGGGGAAATCGTCATTTGGGCAAGCATCGTTGAGGTCTCGGAAGTCTACGTAAACACGTATTTGTCTTGATTTCTTAAAGATAATGATGATGTTGGAGATCCACTTGGGGTATTGCACTTCTCGAATAAAGCCTGCTTCGATTAACTTGTCGATCTCGACCTGGATTTGTGGGATGAGCTCGGATCGATAGCGTCTTTGAGTTTGCTTTATCGGTCGCGTTCCAGGCTTGACCGTAAGATGATGAACATCAATGATAGGGTCCATGCCGGGCATTTCTTTGTAGGTCCAAGCAAATACGTCTTTGTACTCTAATAGCAGCTGGTAATACTCCTCTATCTCATCCGTACTTAATAATGCACTTACGAAGATAGGCTTTGGTTCCTCACTTGTGCCTAAGTTGAGTTCCTTGAGATCATCAACCGTGGCTTGCCCCCCATCTTCGAGCTATGGTGGTGCAGCACTGACATCTTCCTTAGGGATTTCGTCTTCTTTGCCTTCTTGAATCGTGATGTGGAAGACATCTTAGACCTCATCTTCAGTGCTGTCTTCTCGAGCTTGTTGGCATGAGGATTGTCCGGTGTGGATGATAATACGCCTTCTTACTTTAAATGGTCCATTTGTGTCGACCTCTAAGATTGCTTGGCGCTTTATCCTTGAAGGAATCAAGCTTCGAACGTCGCCTTTTTCTGCTAACCCGTCGAGCTTTTCTTCATTTGGTGTTGTCTTCCTCTTTCCAGAAGGTTTCTCATTATCTTCAAATCTTTTCGAAGCTGACTGTCACGGAGGAGAGCTAGTTGTGTTGCTTTGTTTCTTAGGTTTTGACAACCTTTTGAAAATAGAGCTTTGGGATGTTGACATGTTAAGCCTCTTGAAGATGGAAGTTCAGTCTTGACTGCCAATGTGATTAAGCACTTAAATTCTGGGTCTTGAACGGCTCATCCTATCGAATACTGAAGTTCAAGGGACGGGTTTGGGCTCTTCTTAGTCTTGTTCAATGCTCACACTGACATATTGAGCGCTAGTGTTTTTCGCTTTGTTTGAAATCATCACGGGTGCATTTGGTGTAAGGCCAAGTCCAACTTTGTTGTTGTCAACCCCGTAACTATGCTCCTTCAACTTCTTTTGAGTCTTGGTAAGGTTACGTTCATTGTCACTGACGGTGTTTGAAACCTTCTTCCCAGGATTAAAAGAGGAAGCAAAGTCATACCCAGCCTTATACATGAGTTTGTAGGCGTTTGGATCAAAACTTTCCTCGGTCCTCTTGGTTGGAAGAAAGCTTAATTCCACCCCTTTTGGTAGAGCTTTTATGAAGCCTTATGGTAGCTTGCAACCTTAGCACCGCCTAGCTGTGTCAGAGGCAAAACTGCATTCATTTTGAGCAACTTCACATTATCCTTGTGCCATTGTGTATCGGCTTTTCTTGCTCCAGTTTCGAATGAAGATTGACCATTCTTTCTTCTTGACATCGGGATGTATCAGAATATGGGTGTGTTCAATCCTTTTGAAGGCATCCTACTCCCTTTGGTTGTTGTAGGTTTAGCAGGCTTGTCATCGTCTTTGCTTGAAGATGGCACAACTTGCTCTTTTTGCGTTTTAGGCATGGCTTGCCACTCCTACTTTTTAGGTGCTGCTTTGCCTATGAATCTGATCTCTTCTGGAAGAGCTTCGGGCACCATGTCTTCCTCCATGTAAAACTTGGCGTCTGCAAAGTGTGATTCGGCTTCGGTGAATGGCTTAGTGTCGCCTTGGATCACCTTCACTCCTTCTCGGTAAAATTTTAAGCATTGGTGAAGGGTGAACGGTATTACCCCATTTGCGTGGATCCAAGGTCTTCCTAAGAGCAAACTGTAGGAAGTTCTTGCATCAATCACGTGGAATATCGTGCTTGATTTGAGCTCACCAATGGTCATCTCCACTCGGATCATGCCCATCGCTCTTTGTCCTCCCTGGTTAAAACCCTGGATCAGCAAACGGCTTAGGGATAATTCATCTACCTTGATGCGTGGTCGTTGTTGATTTTGGCATGATGTTTATGGCCGACCCACCATCTACAAGCATGTGGTTGACTTTGTGTTCCCTTATGTACCCCGAGACGAAGAGATGATGGTTGTGAGGCTTTGATCCCAATAGTAAGTCTTTGTCAGTGAAGTTAATTGGGTCATGGGCGGCACAACATGTGGTACATTCATGTGGCTGAAGCTTCAAGTCTTCGTCGTTGCCTTCTTGCACTTTATGGTTGTCGCGACTTACCAAGACTGCTGCTAGTGCTCTTCGCATCTTTTTTGGCAATTGTAGCACTTCCTCGATGCTAAAGTGTGTTGGCAGACCTTCTTCGAGTGTAAGGGTCTTTTCTACCTCAGTGGCGATAACTTTGCCTTTTGAGGGCTCTTCTATTTCTACTTCAACCATGTGACAAGCAACGGTAATGCATTGTTGGAAAAAGTCCTTCAGGAAATACTCGTGCAAGGAAACGAGAATGCGTGGCTCCTGCTCCATAGGATCCCCAGCATATGTTGTCTTATCAACTTTTATGTTTCTTTTAGGCATCCCATTGTTGCGGCGATGGTGATTTTGTTCCGCATTTGGCTATATGACTCATGGTTTTGGCTTCTTTGTCTTTTTGTAGGTTACCAATGTCTATCCTCCTTCATCATCGGTATATACATCTTGGTCGCTTCCCGACGGTGATGGTTGTGCAGGAGGTACCGTGCAGCTTGAGCATTCACGGGAATGGTCAGGTGTCGCTTGGAAAGACATGGGATCGAACGATCCAAATGCAATTGTAATGGTATACATTGCGGCCATGTCTTCAAGGTCAAGCTCAATTTCCCCTTGTTGTGTTCACTTCATGATGAGTTATTTAAGAACGAAGCACTTGCCAACAGGATGGCTCACAATACGATGGTACTTGCAATACCTAGGATCGTTTATGCGATTCATCTCTTCAGGACGTATGCATTCGGGTAGCTCGATCACCTTTTTTTCCAACAAGTCGTCTAACATTGCAACCATGTCAGAGTCAGGAAAAGGGTATGTTTTCTGTTCCAACTCCCTCAAGGTGCTCTTGTACCTATCTTGGGTGCGAGAAGGCTCACATTTCTTTATCTCCTTCGCTTTCTTCTTGGAGAAGATCTTGATGGGCGCTAAGGAGGTCTTGATGAGGGTAGTGTTGACGGTGAAAGCTTCCTTAGCGGGTTTTTTCCCAGTCTTGTCTACATGTGGGGCTAACACTTTATCCTTCTTGAAGTTGTAATCGGCTCCTTCTTCCCGTGATTGGCGATACTCAGCTCCATGTCGTGGGAACAAGTTGCCAGCTACTCAAAAGTTCTCAGTTTTATGCCTTGGAGGATATAATGTAACCCCCAATGCATGCCTTGAACGCACATCTCAATGGCGAAGGTTTCAGAAAGCCGATCTTTGCAATCCAGACTTAAGGAGGACCATCTATTGATGTAGTCAACGACAGGTTCATCCTTCCATTTTTTCGCACTGGTCAGCTCTAGCATGCTTACAGTGCGGCGAGTGCTGTAGAAGCGGTTGAGGAATTCCATTTCTAGCTGATCCCAACTGTTGATAGACTCGGGTTCAAGGTCGATGTACCAGTAAAAAACGTTACTTTTCAGCGAACGCACGAACTGTTTGACAAGGTAGTCTCTCTCTGTCCCAGCATTATTGCAAGTTTCAATGAAATGGGCGACATGTTGCTTTGGGTTGCCTTTTCCATCGAAATGCATGAATTTTGGGGGCTAATAACCCCTTGGCATCTTCAAAGCATCAATCTTCTTGGAGTAAGGCTTTGAGTACAATACGGAGTCATGTGAGCTTCCTTTGTATTATGCCTTGATGGTGCTTGCGATCATCTCCTGTAGCTGCTGGATAAAGAGAGATCCCATGAACGCTGTTGCTTGGTCTAGCTTCAGGTTCTCTTCAACTTTCTCCGTTGGAGGCTCATTTTCTTCGTCGACTTCTTTCTTTAATGGATCAACATTTGGGTCGACTTTCACATCGAGTCGCGCATCTAGTTGGTTGACGAGTGTGGCGATCTGCAAGTCCTTCTCTTCTATAGTCCGTGTGAGCTTTACGATTGCTTCATTCATCTGAGCTAGCTGCTCCTTGATTGAAGTTGCTCCAGTGGTCATGACTTGCATGGTTGTACTGCTGCTTGAGTCGGCATCGGAGAGTAGGGACTGAGTATTTCCTCGGACTCTCCTCTCTTGCGCCCTTAGCGAGGCTAGGGTGATCACAGGCTCGTGCCTCAAGTGCTATTGTTCATTTGACAGAGTTAATGCAGGGGCGGAAGCCGCGGCAAAAAGAGCTTTTGCCTTGCTTGGGGTTGTGATGCCCGAAATATCACCACTTGCAGCGATGATGTTCTTGTTCTTCGCTTTGATTGCAGGAACAGCTTGATCCTTTCTTGATGCCATTTGCGCTTTTTGATGATTTGAGGATAGAGATGAGAGGTGGAGATTGTCCCACTAGGCATGCCAAATTTGTAAACACGAATTTTCCTGAAACAAGAACATGTGTACAAAATAATATTTTGTATTGATTTTGGGGTTACAATCTCTTCTACAAATTTAGCCTCTGATTCTATCTTCGTAAGGTGTAGGTTTATGGATGAGCTATTGATCCCAAGGGCCGTCGGGGCTTAATCTAGGGATGAACAATTGATGAACGGATCTTCAAGGGCTGCTGGGCTTGATCTTGAAGAACGGGTATATGGGTTTGTTGATCTTTGTTAATCCAAAGGGCCGTTGAGGCTTGATCTCAGGATGAACAGGTGATGAACGATGAACACTTTCTTCAAGGGCCGTCAGGGCTTGATCTTGAGTTGGTGGAAGTTCCTTCAAGGGTCGTCGGAGCTTGATCTTAAAGGAGGATTTGACGAAGAACGAAGAGGGTTTAAATGATCCTTCAGGATTTGCTTGAGAGCTTTAGAGTTTCAAAGCTTCAAGGTTTTGGTGTGATGTAAAATTCCTCCTTTTTCTCTTGATGGAGAAGCCTATTTATAGGCTTTGAGAGTGAATCACCACCATCCATTTTTTTGGTGAAGTGAGTGGATGTTGTAGGTGAAGTGAGTGTTTGATGTAGGTGAAATGAATGGAGTTTATAGGTGAAATAAGTGTGTGATGTAGGTGAAATGAGTGTGTGATGTAGGTGAAATGAATAAATGTTGTAATTTTAATGCATTGGTCAACATTTGTTTCATTGAAATTTAGATGTCTACAAGCATATCTAGGATTCTAATGTTATGAATATGTGTGCGCCTGCCCTTGTCGAATGAGGACCTACATATGTTCTAGAGTAGTACTTGTTAATTGCGATTACCAATTTCTAGGATAAATAAGACAACGCCAGTATTTATGATGCCTTGTGATGATTCAAACTCTTTTCGTTCTTAATGATTTCTACTTGTTAAACCTATGAACATGCCATTCTAGATTGCATGCTAGGGACAAGTTAAGTTGAAAACGTCATTCTCTTAACATACTACATAAGAAAGAGTAATAGGTTAAGTTCTAACATTGAGCCAACTTGAGCATCTTCATCTAGAAATAAAAGGAATTTGAATTAAACATAACATGTTTGCATGATTATTTGGTGGTGGATAGCAATTCCCCTAACTCGTTTTTCTTAATTTGTGAACTACTTAAAATATGTTTTTGTCCTATTTTTGTTCGATTTAATTTAAATAGCAAATCAACTCCAAAAATCCCAAAAATTTGTGTGAGTATAGCTCTGTGCGTCTAGTGTTTGCATATAAAATTTCATTGACTTTAGATAAGTGTAAGTCGGTCTAATAATTTGAATTCTTTTGAATTTGAATAGCTTTGTCATTTCCATTTGAATTTGCAGACCTTAGTGGTTTTCATTTACATATTATTTGTTTATATTTTGTAAGAGACAATTTTAAAATTTCTTATGTATGTATATATTAAAGGTTATTTTGAGAATAATAGTGGTGAAGAAATAATATTTTAATTTTTTAACTTTTTAAAATGGGTTTGATTATAACGTGGGTGGAAAAATAAGACAATAGGGTGGGTCTAGTAGCTCTCATTGATAAATATGAGTTTTATTATTAATTTCATTTTGTACTTAATAGTAATTATGCAATAGGGTAAAATAGACAATTAACATTTAAAATTTAAGTTGGGTGTAGAAATATGCTAAATGAGTTTAAATAAAATTTCTCTTCTTCTCTATCTCATAACATGCATACATATGGCTGCACAGAACACGTTGTCTTACATATACGCATGTTAATATGTTATAGGCTTTTTAGCCGAAATGCTCCTGAAATTTCCATAACTCATTACTTTGGTTCCTGAGTTTTGAAATCAATAGAATTGGTCCCTGAGTTTATCCACCATCAATCATTTTAATCATTCTTTGAAAAATTATGTTAAATCATGACTAAAAAAAATACTCTCAATTAAATAAACAATGGGCAAAATGATTTGACAAAAATTGAGGGTATTTTGGTCATTTTATCCTTATTTAATGGAGATTTTTTAAGGAATGACCAAAATGATTGATGGTAGACAAACTCAGGGATCACTTCTGTTGATTTCAAATCTCAAGGACCAAAGTAAGGAGTTATGCAAATCTCAGAGACCATTTTGGCTAAAAAAAACTTATGTTATATGATTTAGAATATCAATCTGGTGAACAATATTAATTTGATGAAATTTCATTTATATAGGTCCTACTAATTTTATTGGGTGATTAGCAGGAATGATCATTTGTTTAATTATAGTTTGAAAACACACACATATATACATGTCAAAGAATGAAAACATATTAATCAAGGGAACTGTTATTAGCACTCCAAAAATCTCATTCTATACTCTTCACAAGTGTATTCTTGGAGTGCCAAAAGAGATTTTTTTAGTGCTAATAACAATTCATTTAATCAATTATCGTACAAATATACTTTTTAATTAATCAATTATCTTACAGACACACACACACACATATACAGCATGAAAATGCTACTATTATTGTATAGTACATGTTTATACATAATATTACTGCAGCTACACCTTGGCGATCGCTGCACGTTTGTTTCTTAGCCTCGAGGACCAAAAGGACATAGACAAACTAGGCCACTTTTTGTATCTGGCTAACGCCGGAGTCATATCGATGCCTATTGACTTTCCTGGGACCCCGCTTCGCAAAGCCATCAAGGCCTCCAACCTCATCAATGGGAAGTTGACGGAGATAATAAAGCAAAGGAAGGCTGATTTGGCTGATGGCAAGGCTTCTCTGACGCAAGACATTTTGTCACACATGCTCATGACATGCGATGAGGATGGAACCTACATGAAGGAATTGGATATCAGTACTAAGATTATGGGGCTGTTAATTGGTGGTTATGAAGCTGCCGGCGCTGTTTGCACCCTCATTGTCAAGTTTCTTGCTGAACTCCCTCACATCTACGATGCAGTCTACAAGGGTACGTAATTGCACCAGATGCTCCATAATTTGGGCACTTAGGTTAAATGACATCCAAATTACTAAAAATAATATTTACGGTTTCGTTGTTGTTGGATGCTAAATCAAATACTAATTACAGAGCAAATGGAGATTGCAAATTTGAAAGCCCCAGGAGAGTTGTTGAACTGGGATGACATTCAGAAGATGAAGTACTCGTGGAATGTAGCTCAAGAAGTGATGAGACTGACACCACCAATTCAAGGATCCTTCAGGGAAGCCTCAACTAACTTTGTCTTCAATGGATACACAATCCCAAAGGGTTGGATATTATATTGGAGTTCGATCACAACGCACAAGAGTGTAGAATATTTCCAGGAACCCGATAAATTTGATCCGTCGAGGTTTGAAGGAACCGGGCCAACACCATACACTTATGTTCCATTTGGAGGAGGGCCAATGATGTGCCCCGGCAAAGAGTATGCCCGGATGGAAATACTTGTGTTCATGCACAACCTGGTCAAGAGGGTCAAATGTGAGAGACTTCTTCCCCAAGAGAAAATTGTAATGGACCCTTTGGCCATGCCTACCAAAGGACTTCCAATCGGCCTTTTCCCTCACAATCACATTAATTGAAACCACCATAACTGTCAATTTGTTTGATTACACTGAGATATTATTTTCAATAATTTGTGGTTTTTACTTTGTACAATGATGATGATGTAATAATGTGAATATGAACTACACATTCTAGCAAGAATTTACTGCTAGACAATTATCTGTCTTACCAAATAAATTTGAGTAAATTACACATGACTACCTCAACTATCGGTCGAATCACAATCTCATACTACATGTTTTAAACATTGCAATGTTATACCGCAACTTATGAATTTGTTGCAGTGTCAAGTTTCCATTAAATTTTCTGTTAATTTGGTTATTAAATGATGACGTGATAAGAGTAGAGCCTACTTCTTTGCCAACAGGAATAAAAAATTAATAAAATAATAATTATTATTTTATAATTAAAATTAATTAAAAAAAATCTCTCTCCCTTCTCTCCCTTCAAATCGCCTGTCATCACTTTTGCTCGCTCCCTCCTACCATCCCATCCCAAACCCAGAAAATATAAAATCATACCACATCCCCACCCTCCCTCGCCTCTTCCACCTATTCTCTCCAACCAATTCTGCCATCCTCCCCTCACTCTTTTCCCGGGCAACCATTCACAAATCCAACAAACCCAAACACCTTGGTCGATGGCTTCGTTTCGCGGCATGGAATGGACTTTCTATCCCAATTTTGTGACCTTTCGCGCCTCCTTCCTTGCAAATAGGATAAAGATGAGATCTTTCGTGCCTTCTTCGTTCTGCGGCCGTTGCCGCAGGAGATCTTTCGCACCTCCATCGTTTCGTTGCTAGGGTGGAATTGGAGTTTTGGGTCGGGAAGTGGGGGGAAGAAGAAGGAGGCTGCAAGTCAGAGTAGGATTGGGTTTGTAATGAGATGGTATGAAGAGGAGAGAGTGTGGGGAGGAGATGACCGGAGATCTGGGGGGAGAGGAATTGGAGAGATTTTTTTTTAATAATTAATTAATTCTAATTATTATAAGTAATAATTTTTTTATAATTAATTAATTTTTTAATCTGGTTGGCAAAGGAGTGGGTCGCGCTCTTGCCATGTCATCATTTTAACAGGCAAATTGACATAAAATCTAATAGAGATTTGATATTGCAATGAATTCATAAGTTGAAGTATGACATTATTATGTTTAAAACATGAAATATGAGATTATGGTTTGACTCATAGTTGAGGTAGTTTCATATAAGTTATCCAATAAATTTTCAAAGCACTACACACATTTATATTGGGACAATTATAATACTAAAGGGTATAATTACACTAACACTGCATGAAACCTCCTCAGTTTGAGACATTACAGTAACACCTCCTAGGGTTTTAATTCTCTTTCATATAACTCTTGAGTCAATAATCTGCTTATAAATTTACAAGTCTACCCTTATAATTAAACAAAAGCCCATTTCTAAAGCCCAAGGAAATTATTTGGGCGGCCCAAAGTTTCAGCCCATAGGGTTTAGAAAGAAGACTAGGGTTTCCTCCTGGAGTCTATAAATTGCCTCTTCCCGGTCTCTTTCTTTCCTCAACTAGAACCGTCGCCTCTCTTTTCCTCTACTCGCCTCCTCCAAATCCAGGGCAGATTCTCCATCCTTCCCTCCCCTTCATCCTTTCTCTGTCTTGGCATATAATTCTCTGTATTGATGGCGTTGATGAAGCTCTTTGTGCCAAAGACGGCAGCTATCGAGCTCCGTCGATGACGGTCACAACCCTCTAAGAAGTTCTGAGCCTCCTTCCATTCTATTGTTTTCATGTTTTAGTTGGTTTTATAGTTTTTTATTTTTTAAAATTATTTTAGGAGTTGGGTTTGCTCGAAGAAAGCGAGGATAGAAATTCATGTCTGTCAATCCACTGACTGGTAACAGTGTGATGTTACTGTGAATCCCGACAGGTTCCGATCGCTTTCTATCTAATTTTCCATTGTTTTCGCAATTCAAATAAAAACCATAATTTTATTTTTTGGTTTGACAAGAATGTGGGGGCAGGTGATGAATCAAATTGGTATTTATGGGTAATTTGCATCTGAAATTCATTGATGTTTTATCTATCACCTTGGAGAACTGATGCCCTTGTTCCCCTTTTTTTTTTTTTTTTTACTAATTTTTATTTGTCTGCTTCTTTTATAAATGCTAATTATTAAATCATTGTGATATTTTTAAGAAATTTGATAATTTATTGTCTGTGATGACAAATCCAAAGGCTTGTTTCTCAAGAACATTCGCAGTGGCCGACCAAGAGCTTTCGCCTTTCGCCGGGCTTGAGAGCTTATGCTGCTTTTCTCCTTCCTTGGATGTCTGAGAAACTAACTTTTATAGATGCATATAACTACACTGTATGTTGTTTCAGTAGTTTAAGATCTGAACGTCATTAATGATTTAACTCACACTTGGATTACCGAAATTCCTCATCAAATTATTTTCAAAATTCGACAAAAAAATTATCTTCAACTAATCTCACGATTGTTTTCATGGTGTTTTATGATTTTTTATTTGTATTTTTAATGTGGTGCACATGGGTATGAAGTTATGTTTAAGAATGTGGTAGGTTGTGTAAATTTTTCTTATTTATTGGAATTTAAATGTTTTAAGCTTAAAAAATGCTCATAAAAAAATTAAGCTAAAATTCTTTGTAAATATGCTCTCTTTTCAACTCTGGGTAGTACCTATTTACGCAGATCACAACGTTTTCTAATGAGGATTATGAAAGAGGCATGGTTCTGTATATAATATGGAGATTGCTATTCAAGTTGCCATATGGTGAAAAATCGGTCTTTTGTTCAAATTTAAGGTCTCTTTGGGGCAAGTCAATTCAGACGACAATAAGGCCTTCAGGAGAAGAAGCTTAGGATGGGAAGTAAAGGTGGTCGGTACAGTGCTTGGGGAGACGTGGTTAGGTAACCGAGGCCGAGCAAGCTGCTTGGCACGCATCACTCTGAAAAGGCGGGTCATTTTGATTGAGCACCTATTACTTTATTGCATAATAATACCCACTCAATAAGTAAAAATGTGTTAGTATGCTAGTTTACATAGATGTGACACGTTAAATATAAGATTGGAAAAACCCAAGGCTGGTGAAGGAGGTGTTCATTGACGGTCTATATAAAGGGGTGAGAATCTTTTATAATACAGTGATCCCAAATATGACAATCAAAAATAAAAAGGCCATTACAAGCGAATACATCTTGTACAAAGCTAGCATCTCTGAAAATATGTTTCCAATCAATGCAAGCAAAGTTAGTCGCCTTCCACTTAATATCTTCCGTAATGGTAACTAGATTCCACAGCGTCACAACCTCGGTTCAACACTGACTAAATGAACAACTTAGAGTCACATTCAACCATAATCTTTGTATAGCACTTCCTCTTAGCAAAAAGAGTGCATTCTCTAAGAGCCCTAGGCTTCACTTCTGAATTAGTGGTACCATCAAGAGTTAAAGCTCCACCTCCAATAAGCTACCCATTATGACTCCTTAAGGCAACCTCGTCGTCGCCTTGTTCCCAGCCATCGAACTGACACATCGTAACCCGGAATGTTCACGTGGTCATCTAAATCGTGATGTGTTGGCCGACACCCGGAGGGTGACGAGGCCATAAAGTAAGGTTGATGTGTAAAAGTAAGGATAAACTTAAACTTTAAACAAATAAACCAAAGTGCACAACGTGATTGGATGGTTACCCTTATTACAATACTTGAAGTTCAGAGCATAGTGCAGACTCATCCGTAAAGGATGATTATTTAATACATAAGCAACCTACTTTGACCGAAGGACAATCAACTATTTCCACTAAAACCTCTTACTCCCACGACTTCAATCTTTATGTCCTAGAAGGGTGAAAAATAAAGGTGAGTGGGCCTATAAAATAAAGTTTTCTTAAACCTTTTTGAAAACGTGTAACCCTTTGTTGTAAAACAAGTTTATGATTTTCCAAAGTAATAATATAATAATAGGTAGTAGGGAATCCTGCAGCACAAATGAGTTTCAATTAATATAGGGTGCTACTACGAAATATCTCATCATGAAAACTTAAATAGCTGTTGTAAAATCACAGTTATGAAAAATCACTGCTCATTATTTATGTTCTAGTAGTACATCACTTGAAGTTGGTGTTACGCGCATCACATACGAGTCCAAGCAACAAACCTAGGGACAGGCTGACACCTAACTCTAGATCCAAAATGAACGTAAACGGTGCATATGAGCATACACGTGAAGCTAGTCCTTGGCTTAGGACATTACAACTAACTAATAAACAACGTGCACACATGTGACAATGAGTATATATAATGAATAAAGATGTCATGGCACATTTTATACTCACAGTTAATAAAAATATAAAGTGTAGAAAATCTAATAAGAAGATAACCATGGCATGTTACATCAATTATGTAAGGAAACGGTTATGTGAAAAAAATCACATATATATATTTATTTAAAACCAAAAGACCCACTCATTGATATGTTGCAAGGTCATAGTCACTTTACCTATTATGCCTGTGGTACTCCTTTGGGTGGTCATCTCCTATATGGGAAATTACTATACTAATTAAACAAATAATAATTGATGCAAAACACCTAATTTCCCCTTAGTTTGCTCAAAATGGAATTTGGAGACAATTGGTATTGAATTTGGAAAAACAAAGTGTGAAAATGGAATTAACGCGTCGAAATACCTTAAGAAGGGTCCCGGGCAATTTTTCAAAATGTCAACTTTGATCAACTAACCGTCAACAGTTAACTTTAACAGAATATTCCCTTCTCAGAAGATATATTATGTTAAAGTTAACTGGGAGTTAACGGAATATTCTAGGGGGAATATTCCCTCAAATTTCAGAAATGGCTTGGGTTAGAACAAAGGCCCAAAGGTTTGGGCTTAGGCCTTTTTTTTTTTTTGAAAAATGATCTGGGCCGATTTTGCAGATTTGGGTCAAATTTGGCCCACGAATCCAAGTATGGGCTTGGGCTGGTTCAGGTTTAGGCCTTTTTTTTTTCTCTTTGCTGGAAAATCTAGGGAGGGTTCAAACCCTCCGTTCAAAGCCATTTCACAACCAAAATTCAGCCATAATATATCAAAATGAAGCTTAGGATGGGAGGACTAAGATTACTTTTCAAGGCCAAAAGTTGGTCGGAGATCATCAAAAAGTGGCTTGAAAGTGGCAACTTGAGTTGCAGTTCTCCGTTTTCGTCAATTTCGAAGTGGGTTTGGGCATGCAAGCTCAAACGCATGGCCTAGGGGTAGTGGGAAGTCGTCCTACACCTTCAAACTTAACCACAACAACAAGGTTTTGTTGGGTTTAGCTTGGAAAAACCTACAACTCGCCGAAAAATATGGTGGGTTAGGAACCATACTTCGAAACACGTAGAAACTTGCATGCATGCTAGTAAACTACACAAAAAAACTCAAGGGAGAGCTTGAGGGTGGAAATCTTGAGCTTACCTTGGTCGGATAAGTTTCCATTCGTTGGAGTTCGTCCAACGCCAAAACGGAACCTTGTTTTTATTCGAGTATGGCACCACCAAGGAGTTGCAAAGGGTTCCAGATAAATTTTGGGAGAATTTGGAGGTGTTGGTCGATGGTTGGTGTGTGTGTGTCCGAGAGGGAGAAGATAAAGAGAGAGAAAAGAGAGAGAGAGAGAGAGAGAGAGAGAGAGAGAGAGAAAGAAAGAAAAGAGAAACAGAGAGAAGAGGAACAGGCTAGAAAAAGAAAGAGAGAGTGGGAGGGAAAAGGAAGAAAGAGATGGAAAAGGAAGAGAGAGAGAGAATGTGTGACCAGCTAAAATGGAAAAGAAAGAGCGAGTGATGTGAGAGAATTGATGGAACAAAATAAGGGGGTTTGTAAAAAGGAAAACTAATGAAAAGGGCTTGAAAACTTTGAGTTTTAACGATAAGAACAAAATAAAGGGTAAAGTGAATAGTACTAGAATTGACTTTTTAGTATAAAAATGTGGTTTTTCGTTAAAGTAAACAGTATCGTAAGCTTTTCGTTAAAGTTCCCTCTTTAATACCCAAACAAAATAATTTTTTTATTTCCACTTGCACATGCATAGTCTACACAAAGCCTGTTTCAAATTTCCCACGCCAGACCAAGGCAGTGGTGCACACTGCACGAGGTTGGTTTTTAAAGTTTGAATTTATCTAAGGTGAATTTACACTATTTTGAATATATCTTGGTCGTTACAACTTCGAATTGAATTCCGTCTGCGGCCATATGTTCGTAAAAATAAGTATTGTTCAGAAATAATAGAATAAGAGTGGGAAAGTGAAAGGAAAATTGAGGTCCACGTGGAAGGCTTATGTGGCATCTCAGAGGTAATTTAGAAAATTCGTTGCTATTGGGAATAAAATACATTAAGTTTCGGGACGGGATGTCACAAAACCGCCAAATTTAGCTTAACATAACTCTGATCCGGAGGATGCCCTTTAATAATCATAGAAGTATCATCAGTATTCCTTTCTCAAACCTTTACAATTGGCTTTAAGATATCGTTCACCCACATATATAGCCAATAACTTAGATCCCGCCTGGATGGGCATAACATTTCTGAACACCATATTATTACGGTCATTCCAAATTTGCCAACAAATGAGCAAACACTAGCTTAAACCATTAAGAACTTCCTTATCAACATGCTTTAAAGAATTTAGCCAGTCTACTACTGAGTGGAAGTTAACATTAGTGAAATTGCCCAACTTAATTGAACAAAGGTCCCGAATCGATTTAGTGACACCACAATTAAAGAATAAATGCATGTGGTCCTCGTCTATTGAATTAGAAAAAAGACACACCTTATCACTATTATTCACAATTTGGCTTAATCTTTTCCTAGTCTGAAGTCTATCACGAATGAACAACCACACAAGCATCTTAATTTTAGGAGGAAGATTAAGTTTCCACATCGTATTAATTAAATTATGCTTTGTAGATTGAGTCAATGTCCCTTTTTGAATCCAAGTAATCGATTTAACAGAGAACTGACCATTTGTATTTGGACCCCAAAGTAGCACATCTTTGGAATCTTGCAAGGGAATTATATAATACATCGAAACAGATCCTATCAAAAATTTCTATTTTTCCTTTGAATTACTCATATATATATATATATATATATATATATATTGTGACAGCCCGTCCCAAGAAATTTAAAACGTACGCGTGAAAAGACGGTTTTGCCCCTAGTGCGTTTCCTTTACGTTTTATGGTTGTTTTTGGGTTCCTTGTTGGCATGTTTTGGGCCACACACCCTAACCTGCACCCACATCTTTTCCCTTGCCCTGTACCCCCTATCCCGAGTTCCCTTTCCCATCCCATTTTCCATACAACGTACGGACACACCCACAAACCCATCAAATCTCCACAGATTGAAGAAACCAAGCACATATTCATGCTCGTGAGGCTCGTAGG